AGCCAGGTTGAATTCCCTCTCACCTTTTCCCTTCGTTTGTGGACTTCAATGAACAACACATCAGCTGTATGTGACCAGGCAAAAAATAACTTTACAAACCAAACCATGTCATAACCGCCACACACAGCCTACATCGTTGTCCCCATATTAGCTAAAGTAATGTCCTAGTCAACATAGCTAATAGAACTAATGCGTTAGGAAACCCGCTACAATCCCTTGCAATTAATAAAACCCAAAAGCTTACCTTGACTTGGAAGAGTTCCAGTGTTGTGTTGGATAGTCATAGCCAGCTAGCTAACATAGCATCATTCTGTTTGAGCTGGGTGTTTGAGTAACTAAACTAGCCAGCTGCATTTGCTAGCTAAGTAAGTGAAACTGAAAGTGAAAAAAAAAATACAATCTCTCTCTCTCTCTTGCTTCTCCTTCATTTTTGAATAAATTAATTTGTTGAAAACTGTTGTCTTTCTCTCTCTTTGAGTCAAATACTCACCACATTTTATGCACTGCAGTGCTAGCTAGCTGTAGCTTATACTTTCAGTACTTTCAGTTCAGGGTGGACAACATGTCAGTTCATGCTGCAAGAGCTCTGATAGGTTGGAAAACTGGTCCACAACTGTCAGGATGGCGGTGTTGCCATCAGATGGGGGAAGACCCGTGACAAAGTCCAGGGACACGTGAGACCAGGGACGGTGAGGAACAGGCAGAGGTTGGAGGAGACCAGCCGGAGCTTGCAGAGGAGTCTTGTTCTGCGCCCCATTCGTGCAGGCGGCAACGGATGCGGAGACGTCAGGAACCATGGTAGGCCACCAAAAGCAGTGTTGCACAAAGGCCAGGGTCCGATGGCAGCCCAGGTGGCAGCAAAGCCTGGAGGAGTGGGCCCACTCCAGAACCGAGGAGCGGACAGCGTCAAGAACAAACATCCGGTTATCTCGGGTTCTCTCGGCAACGGAGCCGTTGGGGACTTCCGGGATGCCTTGGAGGCGAGGTGGAATCCTTAGGCGGGCGAGTGGAATATGACTTCCTCTCCTTCCTTTGTTCCCGTAGTCGCCCATCGATCTGAATGGTCAAGGCGATGAGCGAGTCGAGATCCGTCGGTAGTTCCTGGGCTGCAAGCTCGTCCTTTACTTCCTCCGATACTCCTTGCAGGAACGTGTTGAACAGCGCTTCTGGGTTCCAGGCGCACTCAGCTGCCAACGTGTGGAAATCCACTGCATAGTCTGCCACACTGCGGGATTCTTGCCGAAGCTAGAGTAACTTCCGGGCAGCCTCTCTCCCGGACAATGGAGCATCGAAAACCTTCATTACCTCCTGCATGAACTCCTCCATTCTGAAGCATACAGCCGACTGTTGTTCCCACACTGCCATAGCCCAGGCAAGGGCCCTCCCGGACATCAGTGTGATGAAATACGCTATCTTCGAGTGGTCCGAAGAGAAGGAGGAGGGCTGCAGCTCGATGTTGAGCAAACACTGAGCGAGAAATGCCCGACAGGTTCCCGACTCTTCAGCGAAGCATTCCAGGGGAGGTAAGCAGAGTTCTCGGGAAACCGGGGAGGCCGCACTGCTAACAGCTGGGTTACTGAGGGGCTGGGAGGTTACCGTCGTGGTAGGCTGCCTAACAGATCACCCGCGGAATTGCTCCAGTTAAACGCTCGGTCATGGCGTTCGGCCAATGTCTGGAACCCTTCCATGAGACCACAAAGCAACTCCTCGTGCCTTCCAATGGTTGCTCCTTGGGAGGAGATGGCGTTGCGGAGCTGGTCCGAGTCTGCTGGGTCAGTCATGGCCAGTTCATACTATCACGTTTCAGGAGAAGACGCAGATGCAGACAGTGTCGAAGTAACAAAAGTTTATTACAATAACAGGGGGCAGGCAACGACAGGTCAAGGGTAGGCAGAGGTCAGTAATCCAGATCAGAGTCCAAAAGGTACAAAACGGCAGGCAGTCTCAGGGTCAGGGCAGGCAGAAGGGTCAAAACCAGGTAAACTAGAAAACAGGAACTTGAGAAATACAGGAGCAAGGGGAAAAACGCTGGTAGGCTTGACGAAACAAAACGAACTGGCAACAGACAAACAGAGAACACAGGTATAAATGCACTGGGGATAATGGGGAAGATGGGCGACACCTGGAGGGGGGTGGAGTCAATCACATAGACCGGTGAACCAGATCAGGGTGTGACACAATACATAGCCTACCGCATATTACGCACTGCAGAAAAACATTTTAAAAACTGATTTAAGATGTCTTTGGTACATAATTGGTCTAGCTTATACTCTAAACAAATTATATGATTCACCTTTGAGTGTGGACTGTATTATTGTGCATACCGGATGGACTGGTTACCTTATGCTACCCTCCAAACTTTCTATCCATGCTTCTGGGAGAGAACTAGGCGTTGCTGTTGGTTCATTGATTGTGCAGGGCGGCTTACAGAGTTAGCCTACAATTATAGTGAATTTTTTGTATTTGATTTTGAATAGCCTAGTAATAGGGATTTTTAAAAAATATTTTCATAATTAATAGGCTGACACATTACCTTTTAGCTACAGAATATCTCACCACTGTGAGTTTCCATCTCCTTCTCTCTCTCATCCATTCCTTTCTCAAGCATGCAGAGAGAGGGGCTGTCAACAGTTTAATGAAATGTGTTTGGTTGTGAAAACATGTTACTATTGATGTTCCCGAACAGATTCCACTTGGTTTCCCATATTAAGCACTGTGTAGCTGCAGGAACAGGGTTGGAGAGCCCATGGCATACAGAGTTTGGGCGGAATATCACCTGTCACACAGTCCGCACAGTGAGAGGCTGCATGCTCCTCAAACAGTGGCTGATGCATGGAGTGAAATAACCGGAAAAACAAATTGGCAGGAAATCGGCCTCCATTCGCAATTTGAGTGCATATGGATGACATGTATTTTTCCCCCTGCCCGTGTTCCTGCCCATTTGATAATGGGCCATTCTAAATTGAAACTAATTTGACATATCAGTAAAGAAAATATTAAATTGATAATAGTCTGATGGAAAATATGAAAATATGATGAGAGAACAGCATGTTCATTCTGTGGCAAGGAACAGAGCGCAAGCTTTTTTTAGCTACTTTCTCAAATTGAAAGTAGCCTATAGTCACATCATGCAGCCCATATATGTTTTGATTTCTAAGACATTCTACGGTTTGTGTTATTCACAAGTAAAGTGAATGACACAAATAATCACTTTTACGCTCAACATAGCCACTTCATATGCGCATTCGCTCCAGAATGGGAAAAATATCCTTTCTATTTTATTCAGCTATGTTCAATTATATTCTTCTTACAATAAAATCATATAATATAAAATAAAGTAATGGCACGGGACATATAAGCATCTATTACCAGTTGATTAAATGCCATGTCCGTTACATGTACAGTGGGGAGAACAAGTATTTGATACACTGCTGATTTTTCAGGTTTTCCTACTTACAAAGCATGTAGAGGTCTGTAATTTTTATCATAGGTACACTTCAACTGTGAGAGACGAAATCTAAAACAAAAATCCAGAAAATCACATTGTATGATTTTTAAGTAATTAATTTGCATTTTGTTAAATGACTTAAGTATTTGATACATCAGAGAAGCAGAACTTAATATTTGGTACAGAAACCTTTGTTTGCAATTACAGAGATCATATGTTTCCTGTAGGTCTTGACTAGGTTTACACACACTGCAGCAGGGATTTTGGCCCACTCCTCCATACAGACCTTCTCCAGATCCTTCAGGTTTCGGGGCTGTCGCTGGGCAATACGGACTTTCAGCTCCCTCCAACTATTTTCTATTGGGTTCAGGTCTGGAGACTGGCTAGGCCACTCCAGGACCTTGAGATGCTTCTTACGGAGCCACTCCTTAGTTGCCCTGGCTGTGTGTTTCGGGTCGTTGTCATGCTGGAAGACCCAGCCACGACCCATCTTCAATGCTCTTACTGAGGGAAGGAGGTTGTTGGCCAAGATCTCGCGATACATGGCCCCATCCATCCTCCCCTCAATACGGTGCAGTCGTCCTGTCCCCTTTGCAGAAAATCATCCCCAAAGAATGATGTTTCCACCTCCATGCTTCACGGTTGGGATGGTGTTCTTGGGGTTATACTCATCCTTCTTCTTCCTCCAAACACGGTGAGTGGAGTTTAGACCAAAAAGCTCTATTTTTGTCTCATCAGACCACATGACCTTCTCCCATTCCTCCTCTGGATCATCCAGATGGTCATTGGCAAACTTCAGACGGGCCTGGACATGCGCTGGCTTGAGCAGGGGGACCTTGCTTCAGGTCATTGACCAGGTCCTGCCGTGTATTTCTGGGCTGATCCCTCACCTTCCTCATGATCATTGATGCCCCACGAGGTGAGATCTTGCATGGAGCCCCAGACCGAGGGTGATTGACCGTCATCTTGAACTTCTTCCATTTTCTAATAATTACGCCAACAGTTGTTGCCTTCTCACCAAGCTGCTTGCCTATAGTCCTGTAGCCCATCCCAGCCTTGTGCAGGTATACAATTCTATCCCTGATGTCCTTACACAGCTCTATGGTCTTGGCCATTGTGGAGAGGTTGGAGTCTGTTTGATTGAGTGTGTGGACAGGTGTCTTTTATACAGGTAACGAGTTCAAACAGGTGCAATTAATACAGGTAATGAGTGGAGAACAGGAGGGCTTCTTAAAGAAAAACTAACAGGTCTGTGAGAGCCGGAATTCTTACTGTTTGGTAGGTGATCAAATACTTATGTCATTTAACAAAATGCAAATTAATTACTTAAAAATCATACAATGTGATTTTCTGGATTTTTGTTTTAGATTCCGTCTCTCACAGTTGAAGTGTACATATGATAAAAATTACAGACCTCTACATGCTTTGTAAGTAGGAAAACCTGCAAAATCGGCAGTGTATCAAATACTTGTTCTCCCCACTGTAAGTGTTTCAAATGAACTAGTGGAGGATGGATGATGATGGTGATGTCCTTGTCTGTGTCCCCCCAGATGTGGGTTCAGTGGAGGGGTTGGCGTACCACCGTGCCTGGGACACTCTGTACTGGACCAGCTCTACCACCTCCAGCATCACCAGACACAGTGTGGACCAGAGCCGGCCCGTGGCCTTCAGCAGACAGGCTGTGGTCACACTCTCTGAAGACGACCACCCCCATGTCCTCGCCCTGGACGAGTGCCAAAAGTATGTGGTTCTGATTCTACTAAGTCTCGCACAAATTCTGACATCATTAAAAACAAGAGACTAGCCTGGTCCCAGATGTGTTTGTGTTGTCTTGCCAACTGCCATGTTTATTGTTAAAACATAGGAGTTGGCAAGACAGCACAAACACATCTGGAACCAGGCTAGTCTCTTGTTTTTAATGATGTCAGAATTTGTATGGAACACAAATGTAGTTCATTAGCTACTACTTCAGATGCAGTATGTAATTATATGCCTGAAGCTATGGTTGTATATGCTCAACAGATATATAACAGATATACATATTGGTAGCATTAAAACACAAGACATGCCTCCTTGGACAAATGTAATTGTCTTGCTGTTTAAAGACAATTCTGTCTAACTCATGTCACCTCTTGAATGGATCTCAGTGGATTTCATTTTGTTAGAGCAATCAGTAGAATTGTATATGACAGATATGCATTCAGTTCTGTAGAGAAGAATGTATCCCTATGGTGTAGTGAAGGCGAGACATTTAATTGGTTTGACACACTCACATTTGAAGAAATACTGCCTGCAGTGCTTTCACAATAACAAACTAATGTTCCTGTTATATCCATTAAGATATAAAAGCATATCTCAAACTACAGTAATTACGCATGCCAATGAGGTTCTCACAGAATATGACCCAGAGTTCACAAACTAATTTAAACTCTTGACCTCAGTGGGTATGCATGCAGTTTGTAATGAGGCACATTTCCACTACAGAACGCTGCTAATTTAAATATTACCTACTATGATGAATAAGCACTCTCTGACATAGTATTCTAACTAGCCCCTATGAATCCTCAAGACTTTCAATGCTGTAAACATTGTCTACTATAGGGAGGGTCCAGCATAACCATATATAGAACTATCTCTATTTTGCTCAACCTTTGCTAAGAACTTCAAAAGTATCCGTTGTTCATCTTTGATCAGTACAATACAATACCTGGCAGTTTGATGAGGATAGAATCCCTCCACTTCCTCTTCTAAGTAGTGGATTTGTAGCTGCTGTACACTGTAATACAATTCACATATTCCTTTCATTTAGCAGAACCTACTTCTTCAGATAGATAGGGATATTCCATTTATTTACAATCCCACACGATTATAATTTTCCGTATTCTTAGTAGTCCCCTCAAAGAAATATGAATGCCCATTCCATTCAGCATTCATTGATGCTAATCTGGTTTTTATTAAATGGAAAGTGAGTAGCAGAACTGAAACTGTAGCACCCACCTTATTAGAGATGGGAGCTGCTGTAGCTCCTGCAAGGCGACGCTAACACAGCCGACAGAGACAACATGAGGAGCAGATGACAAGTCATGCAGGCCATTGTGAGCTATGGGATCACGACCAGATAGAGCAACAGGCAATTTAAAACAGCTGCCTATGAATAATTCTCACAGCTATTAGTGTTTATTTTCCCCTACAAAAAAAGTCAAGGAGCTTGACAAGTTACAATTGCAGTCCTATTAAAGCCATCATACACTCCCCTGATTCATTTTCAAAGAGCATATATTTGTTTTGTCCTCTTCACCGATGGTGGTGTAAAGATGTCTGAGGGGAAATGTGCATATAGAGAGATATTGAATCTAGGTAACATCTGTTTGCAGTGAAGGTGGAAATTGCTTTTAGGACTTGAGATAATAACAGTTATGTTTACAAGTCTTTTATCTATCTCTCCTGTTTCCAGTCCACGGACTCCTTTAAAACGGTTTCTCAAATCTCCATCTACTTAAAAGTAGGTTTTTGAATGTCTTTTGAATGTTTATTTCAGCCTGATGTTTTGGACTAACTGGAACGAGCAGCGTCCCAGTATTATGAGGTCCAACCTGGCAGGAAACAACATGAAGGTGATCGTCAGCACTGACATCCTCACTCCTAACGGACTCACCATCGACCACAAGGCTGAGAAGATCTACTTCTCTGATGGAAGTCTAGGGAAGATAGAGAGGTGTGATTACGACGGCTTACACAGATATGTAAGTATGGCCGACATGAGGATTCTATATGTATGCCGCTCTAAATGTGATCACAGTTACACTATATTACTGTGTTACACTTTGGGCCGGATTACAAATAACTTTCAATGGAGATTATCCATTAAGCATGCTTTTTAGTCCAGGACTAGGTTTAATCTGTCTTTAAAACCTAAGGGCTCAACTAATGTCATAGAAGGACATACCTACTTGATGTCATGTCATTAACACATTCTAATGAATGCACCCTCTTACTATGCAAGACATGCTGCAGCTTGTTTGACTTGGGCAGCAGACAAGACCACAGAACCTGGGCGTATTCATTAAATCTCACTTTCTTCACTAAGGACCAAAAGTATAGGCAGTTCAAAAAGGTAATTACTTCTTGTTGAACCAACATGTGTTCTGACGTTGTCATCGTCTGTAGCTTTCTATGGAGGAGAGAAATTATATTTGAAACATGGTAGACACAAAGGCAATGATTCTCTGCTGAAATGTTGGTGTTATGCCCCCTTAAGCTTAAATGGGACTCATTTTCTACCCGCTACGTTATCTTCCATTCCTATTGAGCCTGATGGCGTTTCAGCCGTCATACAAGGGATGGCTTCTGTAATACCTCTCAGCATTCTTTTCATATATTATATCTCAAAAGACAGAGTCAATGGTTTACTTAATTATAGAAGTAATTTCCCTTCAAAAGTAAAGGAGAGGGCTAATCTCATTTTATCATTGAGAGGTGGCATGCATAATATATATTAATAGTGGTGAAAATCCAGAATATGTACTGTATCCTTCCGTGTCCCCGGCATGTAAGGGATTACAATACATTGTGGCTCTCCTCTTTGCCGATGGATTTGTGCTTGACATGACCTCTGTGACCGAGGCCCATCTCAATTAGTTACCCATAAATTTGCCAAAGCAGGGTCATGCGGCTCAAAAGTCTCACCCTTTGGGTTCCCTACGGTCTCTCTCCTGCTAATGAAGGCTCACACAGAAAAGCCAGGTGGGGACGAGCCCATCACTCTCCCAATTAGAATGTGAAAATTAACGGATTATCAACAAAACAGTGGTGAGACACCCTGGGTGGAGAGAGGTGGAGAGAGAGAGGGGGTTGGGAGAAAGAGAGCGAGAGTTGACTAGAGTGGGACTTCCTGCCATTATGTGTGATGGTGTGGGGGCGGTGCAGGGCGGTATGGGGGTGGGGTGGTACAGAGTGGGATTGTATGGCAGAAGGTCCACAGAGGGACTCCATGGCTCCTGCAGCTCAGGGATCTGGGAGTGTCATTACTGCCTGACAGCCTAACACTGTGACTGTGTGACACCGCCTCTCCACCTCCCTCTGCTCTGACAGACAAGAGATGAACACAGAGTACAGCGAAGAGCTCAAAAGGCCCACTTGCCCTGCTCACTCCAGTGTGCCATTTTAAGTGGAGCCGTCGGTCGTGTCATTAACTGCCAGAAGTCCAGAGCACCCGCTGGAGAATGTGATGGGGATAAGATGTCAACACATTAAGGCAGTGAAAAGACTACCTTTTAGGTGTGAACAGACTGAATGCTAATTGAGAACTGGCTCTCAAGGGTGGTTATTATGTTATAAATGTATGATCACTGAAGATTTATACGATCCCAAATCCCAAAATTAAGTGTGGCATGATATGATCTTCAGACTAAAATTACATATGAAGAATCTTCTTGGGATTGTATCAAACATGATACAATTATTTGTGAAGTTTTATATACATTGACATACTTATGCGAGAGCTTATCTAAGGGCTGGTCCAACTTGAGGTGTCATAAAAAAAAATGCACCCCCTCCCCAACATTAATAATATTTTCACATGACCCTCCCCCTCATAAAATAAAATGTACCATAAAATGATGATTACCACAACAAATAACAATAACTGTAGCAAACCTGCATTCATAAACGTGCATATCGACTTGACCACTTCAGCATGGTTTTGTGGCAAGGCTACGGGCCAGAAGGTTGAGGGTTTGTCGACCACCACGGATGAGCTCACTCTCACTCTCCCTCTCCCTGCATGTCTCATTACAATACAATCAGAGTCAGCTACAGACAATGATCAGCTAGGGGGAAATCAGATGTTCAGCATTTTGATGCTTTATTTATAATTATATAAAATATATGCAAAATATTTCCACCAACAGGTTTCTGTACCAATGCACCACACATAACCAATAAGCAATGCATAACTGCATACCGATTACCGACTTTGAGCTTCCTTTTGGTTTGCATTTTCAACACCACAATCAAATAGTGTATGTCAATCTCGACCAATAGAAAATACATCCCTCCCTACTCAGTATCGAAGGCTTGGCTTGACATTCTCCGAATGTAAATAGTCCATTTTTTGGTGTTTTATAACAGATGTCTCTTTCCATTCATCGAATAGCCTGTGCGCAGTTTGGATGCTGGAGTGGAGTGGAAGAACATAGGTAGCCTACATGATTCTTTTGAAGTAGCCTAATTATATTAAGTGTGTTTATGCACTGGTTGTGTTTGTCACACATGAAAAGTAATACATTTTAAAAGTTAAATGACATACACTACTAGTCAAAAGTTTGGACACACCTACTCATTCAAGGGTTTTTCTTCATTTTTACAATTTATTTTACAATGTAGAATAATAGTGAGGACATCAAAACTATGAAATAACACATGGAATTATTTAGTAACCAAGAAAGTGTTAACCAAATCAAAATATATTTTATATTTGAGATTCTTCAAATAGCCACCCTTTGCCTTGATGACAGCTTTGCACACTCTTGGCATTCTCTCATCCAGCTTCATGAGGTAGTCACCTGGAATGTATTTCAATTAACAGGTGTGCCTTTTTAAAAGTTAATTTGTGGAATTTCTTTATTTCTTAATGTGTTTGAGCCAATCAGTTGTGTTGTGACAAGGTAGGGAGGTATACAGAAGATAGCCCTATTTGGTAAAAGACCAAGTCCATATTATGGCAAGAACAGCTCAAATAAGCGAAGGGAAACGACAGTCCATCATTACTTTAAGACGTGAAGGTCAGTCAATACGGAAAATCTTCAAGTGCAGTTGCAAAAACCATCAAGCGCTATGATGAAACTGGCTCTCATGAGGACCACCACAGGAATGGAAGACCCAGAGTTACCTCTGCTGCAGAGACTAAGTTCATTAGAGTTACCAGCCTCAGAAATTGCAGCCCAAATAAATGCTTCACAAAGTTCAAGAAACAGACACATCTCAACATCAACTGTTCATAGGAGACTGTATGATTCAGGCCTTCATGGTCGAATTGCTGCAAAGAAACCACTACTAATGGACACCAATAATAAGAAGATAATTGCTTGGGCCAAGAAACATGAGCAATGGCCATTAGACCGGTGGAAATTTGTCCTTTGATTTGGAGTCCAAATTTGAGATTTTTGATTCTAGCTGCTGTGGCTTTGTGAGATGCGGTGTGGGTGAACAGATGATCTCCACATGTGTGTTTCCCACGGTAAAGCATGAAGGAGGAGGTGTTATGGTGTTGGGGTGCTTTGCTGGTGACACTGTCTGTGACACTTAACCAGCATGGCTACCAAAGCATTCTGCAGCGATACGCCATCCCATCAGGTTTGGGCTTTGAGGGACTATCATTTGTTTTTCAACAGGACAATGACCCAACACACCTCCAGGCTGTGTAAGGGCTATTTGACCAAGAAGGAGAGTGATGGAGTGTTGCATCAGACAATCCTCCACAATCACCCGACTTCATCAAATTAAGATGGTTTGGGATGAGTCAGACCACAGAGTGAAGGAAAAGCAGTCAACAAGTGCTCAGCATAGGTGGGAACTCCTTCAAGACTGTTGGAAAAGCATTCCAGGTGAAGCTGGTTGAGAGAATGCCAAGAGTGTGCAAAGCTGTCATCAAGTCAAAGGGTGGCTATTTGTAGAATCTCAAATATAAAATATATTTTGATTTGTTTAATACTTTTTTGGTTACTACATGATTCCGTATGTGTTATTTCATCGTTTTTATGTGTTCACTATTATTCTACAATGTAGAAAAAAAATAAAGAAAACCCCTGGAATGATTAGGTGTGTCCAAACTTTTGACTGGTACTGTATATTTAGGCTATATTGAAGCGTTAGGTTCGAGGTCGAGAAATAGCCGCTCGGATCGGAAAGAAGGCAGAACGCATGTTAAGCTTTCCTGAATAATTGGGCCTTCTGAGAGCATAGGCCTATGTGGCCACGTATAGGACTACTTGAGAGAATGATGATCGGCAAAAGACAGCACGTCAAATCAAATTGTGATTGTCACATCTGCCGAATACAGCAGGTACCTTACCGTGAAATGTTTTCTTACAAGCCCTTAACCCACAATGCAGCTTTAAGAAAATAGAGTTAAGAAAATATTTACAAAATAAACTAAAGTAAAAAATAAAATAAAAAAGTAACACAATAAAATTACAATAGGTGGGAGGGGTGTCAATGCAAATAGGTGGCCATTTGATTAATTGTTCAGCAGTATTATGGCTTGGGGTAGAAGCTGTTAAGGAGCCTTTTGGACCTAGACTTGGCGCTCCGGTACTGCTTGCTGTGCGATAGCAGAGAGAACAGTCTATATCATGGGTGACTGGAGTCTTTGATCATTTTTTGGGCCTTCCTGACACCATCTAGCATATATGTCCTGGATGGCCCAGTGATGTACTGGGCCGTACGCATTACAATCTGTAGCTCCTTACGGTCTGATGCCGAGCAGTTGCCATACCAGGCGGTGATGCAACAGGTCAGGATGCTCTTGATGGTGCAGCTGTAGAACTTTTTGAGGATCTGGGGACCCATGCCAAATCTTTTCAGTCTCCTGAGGGGGAAAAAGCGTTGTCGTGCCCTCATCACAACTTTTTTGGTGTGTTTGGACCATGATAGTTTGTTGGGTATGTGGACACCAAGGAACTTGAAACTCTCGACCCGCTCCACTACAGCCCCGCTGATGTGAATGGCGCCGTGTTCGGCC